CAGCAAGTCAGAACCACATCTGATGCTGCAGGGTCCCTGGTCAGATGACAGCCCATGGTAAATTTCCCCTGGGCACCTTCCATCTGCCAAGTTCCACCCAAGTGGGACAACAGGAACCCGTAAGGAGTCCACCTGCGGCCAGTGAAGACGCCCAGCAGGTGGAACAGCCACGGTCACGTTTAATCCACACACCACCCCGAGGGTGCTCACCCGACCAGCCCGGGTCACTCACCACTTAACACGTACCTGCCTGCCGAGTGCCCACCATGTGCCGGATCCTTGCCGAGCACTGGGACACAGGAAGACAAGACTGACCTAAGGCCCGGCTCCCATGCTGGCTGCGAGGCTCAGGCCAAGTCCAGAGGTCTCAGGACCAGGAAAGCTGATGGTGTAATCCTCCATCCGAGGCTGAAGGCCTGAGAAACTGGTTGGTGGGAGGGAGAGGACCGGTGTCACGTCCTAGAGTCCCAGGGACATAAAGCCTGGTGTCTCATGGCAGGGGAAGTGTCCCAGGTCCACTTGTCCTTCTCAGTCTTTTCATTCTACTGGCCCCGGCTGACTGATGGCACCCACCCTCGCTGAGGATGGATCTTCCCCTTAGCCCACTGACCCACGCACCAATCTCCTCCAGAAACACCCTCACAGACACATGGAAGTAATGCATTATCAGTTTTCTAGGTGTTTCTTAATTCAGTCAAGGTGATACCTATACTTAAAATTACCCATCACAAGCTGGACGCGGTGGCGCACGCCTGTAATCCCACTGGCTCGGGAGGCTAAGGCAGGAGGATTTTGAGTTCAAAGTCAGCCTCAGCAATGGCGAGGCGCTAAGCAACTCAGTGAGACCCTGTCTCTAAATAAAATACAAAACAGGGCTGGGGATGTGGCTCAGTGGTCGAGTGACCCTGAGTTCAATACTTGGTACCAAAAAAAAAAAATTTACCCATCGTAGGGCTGGGGATATAGCTCAGTTGGTGGAGTGCTTGTGTGTATAAGGCCCTGGGTTCAACACCCAGCACCCCCACCCAAAAAAAAAAAATTCCCCATCACAATGACCCAGCCATGACCTCAGAGTCAGGCTCAGGTGGAGGGTAGCCAGGTGCTCTTTGAGGCTGCTCGGGGGGTGGGGTGGGGGGGTCCCTGAGCAGGCACAAACTCACAAGAGGCTCCTGTGGAGCTCTCCGTGGTCCTGAGCTCTCCTGCGCTGACCAGGGTCCTAGCTCGGCCCCGAGGGCAGGCCTCACCCCTACATGGCAGCAGAGGGTTCAACACCCAGTAGGTGCTCCAGGCACACTGGGCGTGCTCAGGAGGGGAGTTCTGGATACCACCCAGCCTGCCCTCCGCCTCCTCTCCTGGGCAGGAGTGGCCCCTCCACAGCCGCCAGTCCAGGAGAGACCCTCACTGCCTCCTGAGTCGTCCTCTACTACTTCAAGGACATCTTGACTGCGCTGCTGTCTGCCTCCCTGGGTTCACCTTCCACTCCACGCCAGGCCCATGCCAGGCCACCACCAGCAGAGCCAGGCAGGAGGTGCGTCTCTGCAGCTAACCCTGCCGTGTCTGGTGGCTCCAGAGGCCCAGGGCAGGCTAGCGGCTTATGATGGCCAGATATGAACATGCCTGTGACCCCGGTGAGTTCCTCTGCCTGCCCATGTCTCTATTTCCCTTTTTTAAAAATCCTCACAAAGAGCCGGAAATACGCCTAGGCACACACCAGATGTTATTAACCCTGGCCCTCATTGTTAAGAGAAGTCTGGAAGACAGTTTGAATCCCAAGGCTGTGACTTCATAGCTGTGTGCCCTTAGGTAAGTTGCTGAGTTTCTCTGAGCCTCAGGAAAAGAGTCATCTTCTGCTTTGCTGTCCAGTGGGAGACCGGGATGAGCCATGCTGCCGAAGTACCCTGCAGAGGCTGATACTGAGAGATGCTCTGTCTATAAAGGCCTACTTTTTGTTCTCCTCCCATTTGGATTTTCTGTCCGTCAACCCAATGCAGGAGCACGCCTTGCTCCTGGCTGGCTTTGCTAAAGGATGGGGCCAACTGGGGGTGCTTACCACTAAGTGGCCCCCACCATCCTAAGGGACATTTCTCAGTGACTCATCAGGCTTTCAAGACCTGCGGCCAGGGGGCTGGGATTGTGGCTCAGTGGCAGAGCACTTGCCTTGAACATGCGAGGCACTGGGTTCGATCCTCAGCACCACATAAAAAAATAAATAAATAAACAAAATAAAGATATTGTGTTCATGTATAATTTAAAAATATTAAGAAAAAAAAGACCTGCGGCCAGAACCCAGAGCATTTGGAACCTCGCAGGGGGTTCCTGGATCCAGTGACCTTGCTACTTTCGAGTCTGGCCTGTGCATGTCCAGCCCCCGGTGCTCCAACCCCAAGCCCCCTGGACTGTCGGACATTCCTTCCGCTCTGTTGATCTACATCAGCCTCCCTGGGGTCCTCACTGTGGGTTCTGATTCATTTCCTGGTGTAAAGCTGAGAAAGCCAGTGTCCCAGGAGATGGTGCCCACCTCCCCTGGTCTCCGAGACCAACAAGAGTCCTTCCAACTTGAGGTTTCGTGACACCCTCCCACCCCCAGAATGGTGGGCAGAAGAGGTGGCTACAGACAGGGCAGATCCTGGAACGAGACCAGAGGGAAACTGATGCTGGGTTTGTCCCTTCAGCCCTGTGGCGTTGTCCTTTAATGTCGCCAGGCAGGGCCTGATGGCCACACTACAGCCAGTGTATCATCCAGGCTAACCACCGAAGTTGCCGAGCCCTGCTGTGTGTGAACAGGGGAGAGAGATTAGGGGCCGGTTCTTGGGCCCAGCCCTGGGAGGCAGGTGTGCGTCTACTCTGCAGATGGACACAGGCCCGGAGTGGTTGAGCTGCTTGCTCAGCCGGTGGGACTGAGACAGATGCAAACCGAGGCACCCCAGCATCCCGCACCTGCTGACCAGCAGACCTGAGGTCCAGGGGGCTGCAGACGGGAGGGTCCTTGTCCAGACAAAACACAAATAGCTGGGCGGAGGGAAGACAATTTGGGTACCTGCCCCAGGGATTCTGCTCCTTGACAGAGCCAGAGAGAGGAAATCTGCTTTAGGGGCCAGGCCTGCCCCAGGGCGCCATCTTCCCGGGGTAGCCAGAGATTCTTGCAAATCCTGCTCCCTCTGGGGCAAGTGGACTAGCTGCCAGGTGCCTGTGCTGGGTGAAGAAACCAAGGCCCAGCGGGGAGAGGGAGGCCATGCTTCAGCCAGGCAGGTCTGGGCAGACTGGGGTCCAGGTCCCGGCAGTACCCAGCTCTCCTGGCCATTTCAAGGTGACCTCCCTGAAAGCTTCTGTTCAAAGCCTGCCCCAAAGAGCCCCTTCCCTGGGGAGCCCACTGCCACCCTCCCCCTACACCTGGCCCCTTCTCCCTCCAAACCCCCCTGCTCAGCCTGACCCCGGCACCCTGCTGGCTGCCGCAGAACTCTCCCACTGAGTGGGGGGGCAAGTGCCCAGGGAAGTGGGTTCCCAAGGTTGGGACCTGCCCCTGCCAGGGTGACCCCCTCCCCAAATGGGTTATAGTCCTACCAAGATATCAGTTTCTGGTCCCCGAGACCCCTGGGCAGTATAGATACAGAACGTTTCCAGCAGCCCAGAACATTCTACTGGACAGTGCTGGAGGTCAGGCTAAGCACCCTCAGGCGCCAGCCAGTAGGGTGGCAGTGCTCAGAAGCCTTCATGGCTCTGCTCTCCGGCCATTTATGACCCTCCCCTTCCATGACCTGCCCCTGCCTCATCTCTTTCCTGTCAACACTTATTTCATGCTTAATATGTCCCAGGCGACGGAGGGAGGTTTATACATGCTTTACCCTCACCCCCATCCTCCGAGCTAGGAATATTCATCCCCATTTTACAGATGAAAAAACTGAGGTTCAGGGGGGTAAAGCAACTTGTTAGACCGCTCCTCTGCTCACCTGGGCACACTCACTGATCTTCAGGGCCCAGATGGCCCAGCTGACCCCTCCTCTAAGCAGGCAGGCCTCCGCCCCAAGCCACCGAAGGCTCTCAGCAGAGGGAGTCCCGCCAGCTGTGCCTGCAGAGGACCAACCTATCCAGCCTTGAGCGCCGTCCCACCGCACATTCTGTGATGGTGGGAATGTTCCTGGCCTCTGTTGTCCAATGCAACAGCGGCTACTGAGCGGCTACTGAGCACTTGAACTTGGCCACAGCAACTGAACAACTTATTTGCAATTTAATTTTAATTTTAATAGCCACTTGTGCAAGCAGCTACTGTGTGAGACCAGGTGGGGTTAGACCCATCTAGGGAGAAGAGGAGCAGGAAGTCAGCCAGGCCAGGAGAGGGCGAGGCTTCCCGAGCCGCCCGGCAGCCCAGGGAGGAAACGGTGGTGGGTCCACCCGAGCAGACCCGAGGGAAGGGGGAGCTCTAGCCCAGGGGCCGTGTCTCTCGGGGATGTGGCTTTGCCTGGTCAGCCCAGCCCCCCTCCAGCAGGGCACACACATCACGGACCGAGTCAAAGCTGGGAGGCACTGAGAGTCCACGAGGGCTGGTGAGGGGAAGGTGCCCGGCTGTGAGAGGCTTTGGGGACCCGAGGCCTGCAGCTCAGACGCTGGGGTGGGCACACTGGGCAGGACGGCCCCTGGGCTGGGACAAGGACCTCACCGGGCTCAGTGCAGAAGGGACGGAGGACAGAGGAGAAAAGAGCAGGGAAGGAACACCAGGGGGTGAAGGGCTCCTGGGAAGAGGACCTTTCAGCCCAGACCCCAGGGGAGAGGGCCGCAGCACTCCGGGTAGGCAGGCCACCAGCACCGAGTGTGGCCACAGGGGCTGAGGCCAGCACTCAGCCCTGCACTTAAGGGGGCAGTGAGCTTGGCAGGGACACCAGGGCCCTCGAGGGCATGGCGAAGACACTGCCTGAGCATCTCGGTCACCACCCTCCACAGCTAAGCCCTCTGGCTGGGCAAGGGTGGGCACACTTGAGCCCAGAACATTCCCCAGGAGTAGTCACCTCTGTGGTTCTATTCTCCTTGGAGACAGCCGGCTGGCAGACCTCTGGTGCCCCACTGTGTGCCACTTGATTACTTGTTACCCTCACAAGCAGAGGCCAGAGGACCGTGGGCTGGTGGCAACCACAGGATTCATGCCGCCTGCCACCTGGGGCTCCTCACCTAGGGTTTGGGGCAAGGTGCAGGCGGCTGCCTTTAGCCTTGCCCAGGGCAAGGTCCCCTCCACCCAGCTGCCACGAAGAGCCCAAGGGCCTGCCTGCTGTTCCGGGTCACGGGTCACACCTCCCCGCCTGCAGCAGGTGACCACAAGAGCCCCAGCCCATCCTGCCAACCCTCGGACCCACCCCCATCACCAGCATGGAGCTGGGGAGCCCCAGGGCAGCGCTGGCCAGGCTTGATGGCAGGGACTTTAAAAACACGTTTCATAAAGCCCCAAGTTCCCAAAGGGGCCAAGGCCCCCCAGTCCCAGCAGCCCTTGAGCCCCCAACACCAAGAGAAACACGTGACTCTGGACAGTGGTGGGTCAGGCAGGGGGGTCACCCGGGGGTGGGCAGGCTGGTGCTTTAAAAAGTCAGGAAAACCCCGAGGTAGGGCTGGAGCTGAGACTCTGGAGGGGTCGTGCTCTGCACGGCAGACCCCTGGACCCTGCCCCAAGCTGCCTGCGCCAGCCTGCTGTGCCGTAGGTCCCCCCGCCCCGTTGTCCTCCTCTTCCTCGTTGTTTGCCCCTAGCCCTGGGCACCAGGAACTCGAGGGAGGGTTCCCGGGCTGCCTGACCCTGGCCTCCAGCAGCCTGCGGTGGTTACAGCCTGGGGCTGCCCCAAGCCCTGAGCCCACACTTCCCCCATCAGCCAGTAAAAGATAGGGAAGGAGAGGGTTCTGCCCAGACCTACCCAAGGTCACCCTCTGGCAGGGTTTGCTAAGTGCTTCATCCTGACACCAGCCAGCTCTGAGTCCAAGGACACTCTCCCTGCAAAGAGCTCTTCCGACCCTGACCTGCGCCAGCACTCCCCACCACCCACGTCAGGTCACTGCCTGGGCCTCTCCGGGCCATCGCTGCCCACCTCCCCTCATTTAGTACCTGCCTCAAGGCTCCCCAGGGGCACCACCACAGCGGGCAGTGTCCGGTCCCCGGTCCCCCCTGCAGCAGCGTCTGCACTCGGCTTTCTAGTAGCCGGTGGTTCTCCCTTAGCGGCTGTCCCCAGCCTCCCTGGGCCCAGCACAGGTGTCAGTTAGGTGACTACATAAAGAGCTGGCCTCCTCCAAGCCCTGCCCTTCACCCAACTGTTTTCCCAGCCCCACCTCTTCCCCGCTGTGACTCCCCACCTGGGCCTCAGTCTCCTCATTTGTAAAGCAGGTAACCAAGCATCAGAGGCAGCCCCACCCTGCAGGCTGGGCGGCCAGGTGCTGGGGAGCGGGGAGCAACCGTGTTTTCCAGGCCAGGTGCCCTCAAGGCCAAGGCTGTGTAAACCACGTGGCCTTCTCCTCTTTGGGCCTCTCACTGTTTCCTCCCTGGGCAGAGGGTCCTGGAGGATGTCCACCTGACTGGGGGGACTGGTCGCTGCTGGACATTCCACAAGGATGTGGTCGGGAGCAGAGGAGCATGCATAGGTCAGAAAGCTTAGAAATGCCCTCTCTGCGCGGAAGGACCAGTGTCCCAGAGTGGGTGGGGCATGCCCGGGCCAGCCAGGGGCCAGAGGCCAGAGCCCATGTTCCTGGCCGAAGGTGGCCAGTGCCAACAGCCCTGCAGGCAGAAATGGGGAGAGTTAGGGGATCACCCTGCCCAAAGGAGACCCCTAGCCAGCCCCTGCATTGCCGGGCTCTGGGCCTGGAGGCCCCCTCAGCGAGGCCCCGCCTGCCCTGTCAACAGTCACCCTCTCAAGAGGCTGAAGACAAATCAGACCCCCTCCCTAGGCGGCTGAGACTGGAGAGAAACTTCCTGTTTGCTCGGCTGCCTCCACCAGCAGCCAGGAGCCACCCAGGCCCGCTCAGCATGGGGTGCCCTCAGCAGGCCGTGCTGCCCCACGCCCCGGGCCTCCATCTGTCAGAGGGAGGGCATCCACTCTCCTGCAAGGCCGTTGAGAACCGCCCCCAGTGGGAAGGAGTCCAAGGGGCCCCTGGTGTGCACGAGGCGTGGGGGCTTCCAGAGGGCGCAGGCCCTGGCATCTCTGCAGAGGGAGGCTGGGGCAGAGGGAGAGGGCAGCTGGGTGTGGGGTGTGAGGAGGACAAAGGATACAGGAGCAGAGAGGAGGCCAGAGCGGGTCAAGCCATGGGGAGGGGCCGCACCGGCCTGGAGTTGTTACTTGGGCAAATGATCAACAGCTTCTGCTTAGAGGAAGGAGAGCCCAGCGCCTACCGACCGTGAGCCACGGCCAGCCACCAGGCCTCTGGCTGGAGTCCTCAGGAGCCCAGAGGCCAGTGGGAACCAATCTCCCAGGGACATTTGCACCAAGGCCTGTGGCTCCCTACTATCCCAGCCGCCTGGCTTCCGCGACCCACACGACCAGTCCTGTCCTGCCTGGAGTGGGGAAGGAGGGACAGCAGACAAGGCCAGGGGTCAAGGGCTGAGGCCAGCTCTGCCCGCCTCGGTTTCCACAACGTTGGAACAGCGACCAGAACTCACGGGAGACAGGGTGCCTCCTGAGTAAAGTGGTGTCATCATCTTGGGGCTGGAGGGTGGCAGTGATCTGAGACGCGTGGCCCTCATCGGCTTACCACGGAGGCCGAGATCAAGCAAGACCTGAGGGGCTGGGGCTGAGGGGCTTCAGTCCACGAGGGAGAGACCTTCCGGGCTCCTCTGGCCAGTGCCAGGGAAGATCCCTTCAGCCCAACCTCTCAGAGGACAGCGTGGGCCAGGGGCAGCTGGGGCAGCAGCTTCCTGGGGTCTGGACCCAAGTCATGCCCCTTCTCCCCCCTTCTCCCATGGGATCCTGGGTGGGCCACTAAATATCCTTGGTGTCCCCATTCACAAAGTGAGACCACCCACCTCTGACCCCATGAGATCAAATACAATGACATCCAAAAAGCTTCGGCACAGACGCCAAGTCCCTGAGCTGGGGCTCGGTGGCCTCTTACACCAAAACACTGAATGCCTGGCAGGGAGCTATGTGGCCTGCTGTACCCCCCTGACCCCCTCTTCCCCCTTGCCCCCCAAAGCTCTGCTCATGGCCTCCCCCTGTCTCTGCAGCAGCCAGGGTCACCACAAACTCCCCATCAGGCCACCTCCCCCTATGAATCATCCCCTGTTTACTCCCAGATGTGGCCCCTGTCACAGTTGGATTGAAGCCAAGACACCTCTGAGCACCTACAAGGCCTGCAGACCTGTCCCCAATATCCTCACCAGCCTTGACCCCTAGTCCCTGAGGCTCCAGCCACACTCCCCACCTTCCTGACCCTGGCGCCCCCCCGCAGGGTCCCAACCCAGGGTCCTCACACTGGCTGTTCCTTTCCTCAGATCTCTGTGTGCTGGCCACCTTCAGTCTTTCTGATGTCACTGGTCCCAGAGACCTTCCTGACCCCCGCCCCCGCCAACAGCCCGACTCTGGGTCTCTCCCACAGCTCATCTCTGGGAATCTGCTTTTCCTCCCACCCCAGGCCTGAGTCCTCCCCGGGAATAGCAATCCCAGGAGAGAAGGGTCCCTGCCTGTCCCCCCCAACACACACACACAGCCTGCCCCAGGCTCTGTAAACACTGCCAAGTGACAACCCCAAGACTCAGGGAACCCTAGTGAGTGGGGGACTAGTTTGGCGGTGCATGGGGTACAGCCCCTCCAGTGAGCACTCCCAACTGACAGGGTGCCCTCCCCTGTCCAGAGAAAGCCCCTGCCCCCGCCCTGCTGAGATCAGCGCAGGGCCAGCCCCTCCCGCCCAGGCTCCCTGTCCTTCAAGGACAATGTACAAAGGGCCACTTCAGTGTAGAGCCTCGGCTCTGTCTGCAGCCCTGAGGCTGGGGGAAGGGCACGGAGGGTGCGCCCCACCCCTCCCTGTCCTCTTGGGGCCCTCTCTAGCAGGGGGGCTATGGCCTGGGAAGCTTTGTCCCAGATGTCATGGGGTGGGGGTGGCCAGGGCCCTGCAGAGGGCGCAGGCGAGGGCTGGCCCAGAGCACCCCAGCAGGACTGCGGTGCTTCCTGGCACAGGCACCGCCCGGCTCCCGGAGAGGCTGGTGCAGGCTTCCCGGGCATCTGAGGGGCCTAACTGCCAGCTGAGCAGGAGTGACCTGGGTGGGGCGGCAAGGAGGGCCTGAGCAGGGCCCTGGTCACACAGAGTGGTTCCGGTCCCGCCCTGGCAGCTCACCGGCCTCTCTGAACCCTCCTCTGCAGGCCAGACTCTGAATCATTCCGACAACCCAGGCTGATAATGTGTGACCCGTGCCTGGCACCGAGGGGCACTCTGACAAGTCACCAGTCCCTTCTGGGCCCCATCAGTGACGTGACCGGCAGCCCACACCAGGAGCCCCAAGGCATCATCCCGCTCAGTGACCTCCTCACCCACCGCCCAGTCTGTCCCGCGGCTTGGTACTTCTCAGGCCCCGCTCCTCCGGGGCCTGGCTGGTTGACCCCTCGGCTCTCACCGCGACACCACAGCAGCTTCCTCAGGGACTCCCGACCAGGTCCCCAGGAGCCAGCCAAGGCCGAGCTGACGCTGCTCTCCCTCCTGGACCCACTGCCCCGGGATAAAGTCCAAGTGCTCGAGGAGGCTCTGGAGCCCCTGCGCAAGCTCCCTCCCCAGGCCAGTCCCTGCAGGCCCCTGACACCTGCCTGCGCCCACCTGCGCCCCGTACCCCACACGGGCCGTGCTGCTCCACCACCTGCATCCCCAGGCCCCAGCACATGGCGACAGAGAGGCCTCAGCCCGGCCAAGTCCACACATCTGCTTTTCAATCAGGCTGCTGGCCTCGGGTCTCAGAAAAGTTGCCCAAGGTCTCAGTCCTGCCTGCCATGCCACCTTAGGCTCCTCACGCCAATGAAGTGGCTCATTCATGGGAATTCTAAGGTCCCCTCCAACTGGAACGTGGGAGGCGCAGAGGAAAGACATAGGAAATGACGCAGCCTGTGGGGACTCCGTGGGAAGCCCTGGAAGGAGTGACGGGAGAGAAGCTGGGGACCTGAGGAGAAATGGCTTCAAGCAGGCGGGACCCTCCTTGGCCTGTCCCACTGCAGCTCAGTGCACAGCGCAGGCCTGTGGCTCAGCGGGCATTCAGCCAGCGCCCCCAGGTGCAGGGATGGACTTAGGCCCAGAGGAGGAGGGACGAACCTGCAGAACTCTCCTGGGCTCCGGGCACCTGGTGAGGTGCCTGTTGCAAGAGGGAAGCTGCACAATGCGCCTTTCTCTCCTCCTCTGCCCAGTTACTCTGCCCTGCTCCTCACGTTTCTGCTGTGCCTGGGGCTCCAGCTGAGAACCAGGCCTGGGTCTGGAAGAGCCACCCGCAGACGCTAGGCCACCTGTGCCCTCTTGGAAGCGTGGTTTGCTTTTCTGAAAAGTGAGGGGCCTGCGAGACGCTCGTGCCCCTCTGGTGCCGGGGCAGCCCCACCTGCCCAGCGCAGCCACTGCCCCAGGGGCAATACCTCAATGAAGTCACTTCCTCCATCCCACCGGGCCCCTGAGAGTGACAGTGAAGGGCCCAGGGCAGCAAGTGGCCCTCCAGCTGTCTTAGGGGTGCAGTCACGATGGAGGTGGTGAGGACCCAGCGCCACGCTGCAGCAGGGCAGGCTGGACTCTTCCGCAACCAGGGGCCACAGCCCTCTTGGGTCAGGACTGGCCATCACCAGGGACACTCAGGATGAACAATGAAATGCAGGAAGGTCACAAGTGTCCTTTAACTTATTTTAGGGTCTTCTTTAAACCACTTCCAAAGTAGATGAAACAGCAAAGGGTAGTGATTTGTAGACAATCAACAGAAGCAAAAACGCTAACCGGAAACTACGTCAAAAGAAAAGGATTTAGGTACCATCCCCTGCCGGGCGCCACTGAGGAGGGTGTGAAGCTGGGATTATGGCCATGGGTGACTCCATCTGTCTGGGAGGGACGGTTCCTTCAGTAGCACGGGCGCACTAAGGTAACTTCTGACCAGTCACTGCCCCAGTGCCCATGTTAACAGGGGACGGACTTGTAGATGAAGCCCCCCTAAATAGGACGGCCACCGGGACACTTCCAGAGAGGACAACTCAGGTCAACCCCACAGACCAGCGTGAAGGCGCTGAACACCTGGTCGGCGGAGTGCAGAGGTGGTCCCCGGCCCTCCCGGTCAACACCAGGCAGCGAGGAGTTTGGAGACAGCCCCGCGCCCTCGTGCCCTCTGCGGGAG